AACTAATACAAAAAATTTAGTCATTAGTATACCGCTTACTGGTGGATGCATCAATTTATCTTATAACATGGCACTTGATATACATTACATTTCACAACAAAACATCCTTTTATTATAACTCAAGTTTAAAATATATGGTATAATTTGACAAATACTTCTTTGCAATCATCAAGTATTTGAAAACAGGGACCTACTTGGCCATTGACAGAGAAATATGACATTTTTAGACCATTTAAATTGTAACAGCTAAGAAGAAGACATATAAAGTATGCACAATGTCTGGTATTGCCATGTGGTGTATCAAAACAATAACGCGCATGTTCATCGTCAATTTTATGGCGTTGAAGGATTTAGTTGTATGTTTTAGTGTTTAGACTAAGCTAATATATTTTCTACTATTATACATAAAAATATTGTAATAGCTTCAACAAAAGCACACAGTTACTGCGGAACAGTAACGGCTGTTTTTACTTTGTTATTGATGTTTTTGCACTTACCTTTGGGCTTTAGCACTTATTGTGACGTTTGATGGAAAATCGTTCACTTTTTTTTTATGAGGCGATGCTTTCTTTTCAAGATTAAACCTTTGCTGACTTTTTCAAATTTCTTCTCCTATGAAATAGCTTATGCACTTTACTATAACATAACGAATTTTTCAAATGTCCTCCCTTGTGATAGCATTAACTGCATTCAATTGGACTAAATTTATAGACGCAACATTCATTTCGTGATTGTTCGAGTACTGGACGTATAGTAAAGTACAAATCAGGATTTTGCTAAAGAAACTATTTTCAGCTACAGGAGTTCATCGGTCGTAACGACATAAGTTTAATCTTTAATGGACAACATCTCCTTTAGACATAAGTAAAGATAAATAGGTAGGCAGTTTGAAAAGCTTTATTTACTCACAATAATCCTGTCATTGAGCTGCTGCCTAATTCTACAGAGGGTGTAAATAAGAAAGAAAATTTACATCTTTGTGTCAACGTATGTGCCTACCTTTTTTTTTACCTTTATATCTTCCTTTTTTTCCTCTTTTGTGTCTACTTTTGTGTCTACTTTTGTGTCTACGTTTTTGTCTACCTTTGTGTGAATCTTTTTTTTATGGATTTATGTTCACCTTTGTCAATCAGTTTTTCTGCCGTTGTGTCTAATATTGTGTCTAACTTAATGTCTACATTTTTGTTTATCTTTGGGTCTACGTTTCTGTTTGTCTTTTGCTGAACTTTTTCTCTATCTTTTTGTCTACTTTCTTGTGTGGTTGTTCTAAAGTTTGAGGTGACAAATTTCACAATGTGATATTGCGAGATTTCTCTCTTTTATTGCTTTGGCATATTACTTTTATACAGATCTTTACTTAATTATAATATACGTAATATGACGTACGAAATATTAATTATTTACATAACTAATTAAATATTTTTTTTTGCATTTTGTATCTATAAGTTCGTATATGAAAATATTAATTGCTTCTTTTATAGCTATCTCTAAATTAACTTTCAACTTGTCCGTATCGAATAGGGGCTTTTCTTGTACGCAAATGATACCACCGTTCTGTTTCCTTTATACTTTCCTCAATGGGTTCTCCTAGACTTTTCCCATTTTCTATCTTCTTGAAAAATGACGATATACGAGTAAACAACATTCTATCTTCCTTCGCTGTTACCATTGAACCTTTTCTTTCCACGATATCACATGGCTTACCATCCTAGGGTGTTTGTTGTTTATTCGTGTTCGTATCTTTTTTTTACTAACACCATATCACCTACTTTAATCTCACTTGTCTTTACGTTCCTGTTATTGTCTGCATGTAATTTCATCTTCAATTTTGCTCTTTCATGCTGTACTCGAATTCTTTCCTTTGTATCCACATGAAATGGTTCTTCAGGTAAACGTCCTTTCATTGGTAGACCGAATAAAGCCATAGATGGAGAAACTTTGTTCGAACTATGAGGTGTGGCACGATAATTTCGCAGGAACCTGTGGATTTCTTGCTTCCAATTTTTTCTCTCCATTATCGCAGCCTTTATTGTCTTTTTGATAGTACGCATAAATCTTTCCACTTCCCCGTTGGCTCGTGGCCAATAAGGAGTTACTTTTCTGTGTTTAAATCCCAAATACTTTGAAAACTCGTAAAATTCCTTGCTATTAAATGGCGGTCCATTGTCTGAACGTATTGTATCTGGTATCCGAACTCCGAAAGGATCTTATCCAAACAGATTACAACAGTCTTTGCGGACGTTGATCGGATTACTTCTACAATAGGATATATGGAAAAATCATCATACAAAACAAACAAATATTCACCTATGACTGTAGGAGGTACACCAAAGTCCATACTTAGCTCTTTCCAAGGAGATCTGGGCAACTCTGACATTTTCAATGGTTCCTTTTCACTGATTGGAGTTGTAATCTGACAGGCTAAACACGATTTAACTTTTTCATTAACTCACTCATCTATACGTGGAAACCATACCTTTTCACGTAATAACGCTTTCGTTTTTGACATTCCCATATGACCACCTTCATGAGCAATGTTCACTACTTTCTCTTGTAAATATTCTGGTATGATTATTTGATGTTTTTATAGAATTATACCCAAAGATATGCAAAGTTCATCTTTAATTTTGTCATATGAACTTAATTCTGCTTGATTTACTCCTACCATCTTTGAACTCTCAAACCATTTACCTGTTTCAATGGCTTGAATTACTGCTCGAAGAGTAATGTCTTCTCTTGTAGCTTCTTCCAGATATTTCCTGCTGATTGTTCTTGGAACCGAGTTCTGTGTAACGTAATTAACAAATTCTTCTGCTACTTTCTCTTGCCGGTTGTTTAGTTTCTCATCAGATAAAGGCTGACGTGAGAGAAAATCTGCAGGATTTTTAGTTCCAGGTTGAAAACAAATTTCAAAATCATATGGTTGCAATCGCAAAGCCCATCGTTCTAATCTCGCAGATGGCTTTGATGATGGATTTGGGTATATTTTCGCCAGCGGCTTGTGATCAGTGACGATGGTGAATTTTCCTCCAAACAAATATAAATGAAAATGTTCGCAGGCCCATACTATAGCGAAAGGGAGAATAATTCTTCTCTGTGGTAGTTAGTGATTTACTAGCGTAAGCAATTATTTTCTTTTTTTCTTCTCCCTTTTTCCTCTGCGCCAAGACTGCTGCAATACCAACTAGACTAGCATCTGTGAAAACCTCCGTATCACTATCCGGATCAAAATACGCACTTTTTGGCCCATCAGTTAATTCTTTCCGTAGGGTTTTCATTGTGTCTTCTTGTTCTCTTGTCCACACGAATGGGGCATCTTTCTTAATAAGTCGACGTAACGGCTCCTTAATTGTGGCCTAATGTGTAATAAATCGACAGCAAAAATTGGTCATGCCTAACAAACTTCGTACTTCTCCTACATCTTTAGGATTTATGCATTCCTTAATTGCTCTCACTTTATTGGGATCCGGCACAATACCATTCTCTGAGAACACATACCCTTGGAATATTAAACTTCTTTTCTTAAACAGACATTTCTCCTTCTTAAGAGTTAGTCCTCAATCTTTAATTCGTTGTAATACCGCGTTCAAATTTGCATCGTGATCTTTCTCGTCTACGCCAAACACCATAATGTCATCACTGATATTAATCACTCCTCTCAGTCCATTCAACGTTTCTCTGATGGGATTTTGGAATATCTCTGCAGCACAGTTTATTCCAAAACTCAAACGTCGAAATCTCCGTAGACCAATGTGTGTTGAGAAGGTTGTCAAATATCTTGATTCTGCATTGAGCTCTAACTGGTTATAGCTTTGATTTAAGTCCAATTTGCTAAACCATACAGCACCATTTAGATCACTTATAATTTCACCAATCGTCGGAGTCAAATGTCGTTCTCTCTTTATTGCTTTGTTTACTTGTCGCATATCTATACAAACTCGGACCTCTATTTTTTGTTTTGGTACGACCACGACTGGTGAAACCCAAGGTGTTGGTCCATCCGTTTTCTCTATGACTGCACGTTCTTCGTCTCGTTTTAACTGTTTCTCCAAGCTTTTTCTTACATGAAACGGCACCCGACGATGAGGTTGTGCGTCCTTATCTACGTGTAAATGAGCTTGAAACCCTTTCAATTTTCCCAGTCCTTGAAAGACTTCATGATATTTGTTAATTAGCTCTTCCACTTTGGTATCTTCTCTCACTATTTCTTGTGCCTTTTCTTTAACGGGTTCCTGTTTAGACTTTTTAGTGCCTTCAATGGATACAACTATTTGTACCAGGCCAAATTTTTGAGAGCTTTTCCAGCTTATCAAGCAATCCGTATTCCCATTAACAACAAAAAATGTCTCCAACCCATATAGTTTATCGGTTTCGACCACACACTGACATTTTCCTTTAATTGATAGTTGTTTTTTCGACCCATAAGGAAAGATTTTCTCATCTTCCTCCTGCAATATTGGCTTTTTCTTCAATTTGTTAAAATTCACTTCATCCAAGAGATTTACGCTGGAACCGGTATCTGCCATGACTGACACAGTAGTACCATTTATCTTAACTTTAAATTTCGGCAGCTTTTGCTGCGCCGTCAACGTTGAAAATACATATTCATCTTCCATACTTGATTCAGACGTTATTTCTTGCACAGTATTCACTTGACGAGGTCTTACTTGATTGCGTTTTATCTGTCCGTTTCGCTTTGTTGATTCAGCGCGAGAACTTTGATAATTGTCTTGCATCCGCTTTATGCCTATTCGATTCTCATAGCAACAAACTTGAAAATGGTTTCACTTTAAACACTGTCGACATTTCTTTCCATATGCCGGGCAATTTTTTTTCCCTGGACGATGTTCACGAGCACATAATTTGCATTTGATCTTCGATGAATATTCGGAAGCATTTGAGGTTTTATCCGTGGGCGTCTTGAACTGCTTTCTTTTATGCCAAATTCGATTCGTGCTTTGGATGCCTTCTGCTTGTGTTTTTGACATCTCCATTGTTTTTCACATTTGTATTAATTTCTCTATCGTTATTTCGGGGTCTGCTAACGCTTTTCTCCGCAATTTTGAAGACAAACCATTAAGTATGATCTGAGTTTTTATCTCTCTGCTTTCTTCATGAAATTCGCAGGATTTGGCCAATTTTTTTAATCTCGTGTAGTACGCGGATATTTTTTCTCCCGGGAGTTGTTTCGCTTGACGAAACTTATAAACTTCGAATTCTATATTCTTCTGTGGAGTGAAGTAATTTCGTAACGCTTTCTCCGCTTTTCTAAATACATCTTCTTCTCTATCTGGCTCGTCAATTGCTAAAGTTTCGAATATCTCATTAACTTCTTCACCGACATAATGCAGGAGCATCGCCTTCTTTCTTGCGGCGTTTGTGATGTTCATTGCCAACAACAAATTCTCCAATCTTGATACGTATTTTCCCCAAGCTTTTCTAAGGTCTGGTTCTTCTAAGTTGAACGTCGGGAAGGTAGGCAAAGCTGTCATGTTCGAATTGTAGTATCTTTGTCAGGATCAAATCATATTTCTTCGTCCCTTCGTAATCTTTGTCGCCAGATGTAATATTGTGGGATTTCTCTCTTTTATTGCTTTGTCATATTACTTTTATACAGATCTTTACTTAATTATAATATACGTAATAGGACGTACGAAATACTAATGATTTACATAATAACTATACTACAGTAACGACATAAGTTTAATCTTTAATGGACAACATCTCCTTTAAACATAAGTAAAGATAAATAGATAGGCAGTTTGAAAAACTTTATTTCCCCACAATAATCCTGTCATTGAGCTGCTGCCTAGTTCCAAAAAGGGCGTAAATAAGAAAGAAAATTTATATCTTTGTGTCTACGTATGTGCCTGTTTTTTTTACCTTTATATCTTCCTTTATGTCTACTTTTGTGTCCACTTTTGTGTCTACGTTTTTGTCTACCTTTGTGTGAATCTTTTTTTTATGGATTTATGTTCACCTTTGTCAATCAGTTTTTCTGCCGTTGTGTCTAATATTGTGTCTAATTTTATGTCTACATTTTTGTTTATATTTGGGTCTACGTTTCTGTTCGTCTTTTGCTGAACATTTTGTCTTTCATTTTGTCTACTTTCTTGTGTGGTTCCTCTGAAGTTTGAGGCGACAAATTTCACAATGTGATAGCCTTCTCCATCGACTGTCATTGAAAACCGTTCAAATTGTTTTTTAATTACATTTTTTTATTTACACCATTTTTCGAAATTTAATAAGGCACATTAGCGCTCTAATCACAGCCATTACACCCATCAATTGTAACCTGATAACATTACGGAACCTGGAAACGAGTCATGTTCTCGACTGTATCCAATCATAGTCTTTGATCCAATGATCCAATGATCCAATGATCCAGAGATTATAAAAGATATGAGAATTTTAGATACTGATAGTGTAAACAAAAATGTCACAATACACATTATCATCAATTTGCTTCAGAGGTAAAGCTATCCGTCATTGATTTTTGCTAAGTACCTTCAATCAAACATGAAAATTATATGAAATCTTGGAAATGATATGTTCTGGATCATACGGTCTTTAAAAAAAATATGACGAAAAACAGACAAAAAGGTACGATAAACTTATTCCTATACTATGCTCACAATCAATGGTGATGTACATAAAATGCCTTGTGTAATTACAAGTGTGAACTATTGATTAGATCTTTTTCACTCAAAGCTACTGTTTCACAATCTTTTGACATCATGATAAAAACATCACAATAAAATTAATTTGAAACTCGGCAAAAACGATAAAATTTTCATTGCTTTCCTCAACATTATACATATGCAATTTGTTCTCGGGTATTGATGCAAAAATGTACAAATCACAACAATTGATAACATATTTAGAGTTATATATCTAAACTTTGAGCACATCATTGTTTTCTGCATTTTCTATATGCCCATATGCAGTAAGTTATGCAAGAGAAATGACAAAATAATAAAATCGAAAAGTTATATTTTGCTCGAGTAATTATGGATTTACTTTAGAGGTTTAGTGAACAAAAGTATAAAAAATATAAGAATTGATGTTGAATCAACAAAATTTCATGAAATACTATAATAGTAATTATTTTTACACAGTACATAATAGATGGAAATGATTACTCAATTTGTATCATTGAAAGTGGCTCGCACACAACTCGTATGGTCTTTATTTAAGTTTATGTATATTCACCTACTGCATAGAGAATGTTTGGTAGAATGCAGCTAAATTTTCCAATAAGTACTTTTATAATCTTTGAGTCATATAAAATTTAATATAAACATGGTTATTTTTTAATGACAAAATGTATTGATTATAAAAAGCAAGATTCGGTCGTTTTTTATAAAATAAATTGTCATTTTGTGTGAAAGCCAGTTTCAAGTGCAAAATTTTTTAAGTGATCTACAAAAAATATAATATGTGAATATTCATTAATGAAAATTAATGAACTTTATGACAAATTATAAAACACGCAAAACTATTCTATATTTTATAAACCATATCTTATAAATTGTTATTTTTTCATCCCATTCTATGCATAAAACTGTCTGAAATCGAAGCACAATCTTTAAAAGAAAATAATACATACAGTTCATGCTTGTTTATGAAAGAAGTATAAACTCCAAGATAATACCTTTCTTCAATATCTTTTGTTATTTTTTTCATATTTTTTCCAGAATTCTTCATGTCTCCAACCAAACCAGCTACAAACTGTATTACCAATTGCCAATTAGGATTTTTACAATGATCCAAAAACTTTTCAATATTTTTCTCATCTTCAACTACATGCTTGGCAGCAAGAGACTCTTGAAGTGTTAAATGATCAAAACAGAAAAGAATGCGTACACCAGTACGTGGTATTTCATGAAAAATACTTGATGTTTTCAAGATACGAGGGTCACTGGCATCTTTTTCATAAATTAAACTTCTTCCATCAATTCTATTGTATGCAATATGTTTTATTTCATTCATGTCATGTTCACATGGATCATTATAGAATTCTATTTGTGCTCTTTTATAGATCTCAGTTATAGTCTTTGGAACTTCTCTTTCCTTTTTGAAGATTTCGTTTAGTATCTGGCAGATCATTTTAGTGTTAGCGGGGATATAACATAAGCTACTCAGCTCAAGAGATCTCTCGATGCACTTGATAATCTGGGTAGAGAAATCATTATTTTCACTGAAAATCTTGTTAACATATTTTTTGTCTGGTCATCAAAAAAGCCCACGATCTCCACAATCCGGTCAAAAGGTAGCATACGATATCTATTTTCGGCTGTGGGTCGTGACGTTATCAGAACAGTGGCATCAGGCAACAGTTTACCTATAACCAGGTCAATTAACCATGTGAACACCGTTTTGAAATTGGGCTGCTCCAGCTCATCATTGTCCAGTTCATCAACACCGTCAATGAGAAGGATTGTTTTTTTCTGGATGGACCTGTATAAACTGTTAAATTTGTTCAAAATCTTGATTTGATGCTTTATCGCATTCACTGAACATATCTTTGACAGAATTGTAACACTTTTTTAGCGCACAACATCTTAGTAAAACAACTAGTTTATCTAGCCAAAATTCATCTTTACTCTGTTTCCATTCATGCATAAGTTCTCTAGTCAACACAGTTTTACCAATTCCTGCTCTTCTTATGACTAAAATGGAACGTTCCTGTATTTTTGTAAAAATTTCAGTTGCTTTCATCAATTTTTTTTCCTTTTCCTTTTCCTTTTCATCAGGTTTAAGCTGATAATGAAAGATTTCATGTCGTTTATAAGTTTTAGGGTAGGCTTTTTCCAATAAACTTTCAGCTTTAATGTTAACATTGACTGAAAGGTCAGATATTTTCAAAGTGCTTTCATCATTAAATTCGTCAGGGATTTTGTAATCACGAGACTGTTTTTTTATTTGCTTTGACCATTTTCTGATTCTTTTATTTTTTCGTAACAAATAAACAATACAAAATTCTTTCTCTCTCTTGAACAAACTGTCCTTGCAAGCCATATACACTAAGTAAATAATCTCTAGAATTGTTAGAAAGTTAAAAATGACATCAATAATTGCTACCACGTCGATCAAGGCTTTACTTTTGGCACTTCTAGCGTTTTTACAATCAAGAAATATGACATCGCTTGAGGCAGGAGCAGTGTGATTCATCCAGGACGTTTCTTTCATTGTTAGATGCCACAAACAGGAGTAGTCATTGGGAATCTTTTTGGAGAAAAGTAACCAAACAAATGTAGTCAATGTGATGAAGCGAATAACCAAATGAGCGATGTAAATATAAAATGTAAGTAAACGAGGAGCCTTTTTACTAGTAGTTGCAAGTAAAGTCTCATCACTTTCATTTCTGTAGTTTTCTGTTATAGGACGAGCATGGTCTTGAACTCGATTTTTCACCAAATATCCAAATAGAATACTCAAAGTTATGACAATGCCAAAAATCCAATAAAAACCATAATCAAATTAGAAATGTCGTAATTTAACTCATTTCTGTATTGACTCAAACAGCTTAAATCGATGTTTTTTATAAGAGAAGCTTCTCTGGCTGCTGATATGTTCTTGTTATAACAATGAAATGAATCATCATCGTATAATGTTAATGAAATTCCAAGACAGATGAATCCTACGATACCAAAGATACCAAGGAATATCCTACCAAGCCAGTGAAAACTGTACCACAGTATGATGTCAAGAAAATGTAATTGCATTTTGTTATCCTTTCAAAAAAAATATTGAATGAATACATGTAAGATCTGTAATGTATGTTAATTAGTTATGTAAATGAGTATTCAAAATATATAAATATGCACTTGCTGAGAGGCAAGTCAGTAGTATAGTACATGGGGGTAGGGAATCACAAAAAGTTTACTTTTTGTTATTCCATACGCCCCATGTACTATACTACATATAACCGTGGGTAACAACTATCTTTATAACAGCGCAAAATAAGACCATAGTTCAAAAGGCGTCCCTCAGTAAAAGGTCATGTAAAAAAGCTGTAAAAAAAGTCATTGTTTCAAAGTAGTGTGAAAAAGGCTATGTTTCAAAGGCGTCCCTCAGTAAAAGGCCATGTAAAAAAGTCATTGTTTCAAAGGGGGGTAAAAATCTCGAGTTTACAATCTATCGTTTAAAAATATGGAATCTATATGTTTTTGAAATATATAGGTGCGTTTAAATTTTACAAACGGTCTTTACAAACAAATGTTAACAAGCATCGGTTCGGAGGGGGATCGGCAGCGCAGAGCACTTCGTGCTCGAGCAGGGGAATGGATCCCCCGAGAATTCTGGAACCCCTGGTGGGGAAAATTTTCACGAAGTGAAAATTCGGGGTTCCCCCACAGATTCGAAGAATTCGAAGAATTCGAGAATAACAGAGGCTTAAAAAATGCTCTTCAAAAAACCGTCTTTAATAATCAAGTGTTATTAAAATATCAGTATCAGCGATAGCTGGTTTTGTAGCGGCGCGCGTGTC